CCGATCTCATTCACAAAATAGTTTACCATGTCATCATTAATACTTTCCAAATTTACATTTACTAAATCATGTAATAAACTGTCTAGTTTTTCAAAATTTAAATTCTCTCTAAATTCAGGTTTCTTTTCATGATCCCATTTATTAACTCTTTTAAATGATTGACTAATGAAATTGTTCTGTTCAATGTCTTCATTTACAGATTGATTACAGACAACAATTCAAACACATATACAAAGGGCAATGTACATCTGAGTACAAATGTGAAAATTCTAAAACGTTCAAATTAATAATGTTTTCAATAAAATTAATATTACTTAAACATGTTAAACAGTAGTCTACTACACTTGCGTTTCTACAGGTAAATTTTCCAACTCTATCAGTACCTAGTCTTCCATTCATAATAAATAAACTGTTACATTTACATAACTCAAGTAATTGATTACCGTAACGGTTTTTCCCTTTGTCCATACTATTACGATCTATGGGTATATTAAAAAGGTTTAGGTTACATACATCATTAATAGATACACCTTCTAACTCATTATTCTTATCATTTTCGTCAATAAAAATATAATCTTTCTCACTGGCCGTGCGGGCGTTAAAATCCCCGACCATAAATATATTTTCATATTTGGATGAGAGTTCTAGGTACTCGCTTTCAATTTCACCGAAAGCATCAGGTGATGAATAAGCAGTGTATTCTGGTGGTATGTACACAACACCGAGGATAACGTCCCCGTCTTTGAATAGTCTTGAAATCTTACACCATAGAACAAATTTACTATTTGTCTCAATTACTTGGATACAATTCGAAATATTTTCCCAATACCCGAGTACAATACCACCGGACTTCACTCTAGATATCTTACGTCTATTTTTGGCTTTTACCTTATATCCCGGTATACAAATTTCATCCATATCGTCAGTTTTGGACTCGACAAAGCATAAAATATCATGTTTTTGTAGTAAATTTTCGAATTCTGGGTATTGTAACTTATGTTTTAGGCCACAACAATTTATGTAAATAAGGTTTATGGTTTGAATATTTGTAGTTTTTTCCTGAGACAGATCTAAAGATTCACTGTTTAGAGAATGGCTTGGGCTCTCATCATCTAAAATATTTGCATTTTCAATCTCAACATTTACATTAAAAATCATATCAATCTGATCATATATTTCATCAATACATGTATTACCCTTCTACAGGTATATTACTGGGTGATATATCTATTGTATTATAATCATTAGTACACGTGTTTATTACATTATATTGTTGCCCACTAAATATATTACAACTAGACAAATCAAATGTTAGATCACTATTTTCAATACGAACGTCGTTAATTACACTAGTATTATTTACATAGTCAATTTTTCTAAATGTAGCACCAAGTTTATGATTTAAGTTCGACGTCTCAAGGTGGTGCACTTGGCGCTCCTAAATGCGTGAAGGGGTTGAGCTGGTTCGAGGCCGTTTCATGGATCTGCGATCCCCTTGTGAGTTTGGCGTTGACTGTTCGTTAATATGCGGGGCATCGTTACATTCTTCCGGATTACCATGGCGGTCAAATGTGTCGATGTCATCGTGTATCTCATACAGTTCATTGTCGATATAGAGTCGGTCGCGTACAAGTTTCACATTTCGTCTATTGTACTTGGCTTCCTTCATGATAGGATACAATTGCTTCATCCTGTCTTCTATTTCTTTCGGGAACTGCTGTCTGATACCATATCTAGTAATTTGTAACCTGTAGGCATTATCTAGTACATACTGCAAATCGTATTGATATATGAATCGTGCGACGGTTGGTCTCATACCACGTTGACTGCGTCCAAAACGGTGGACATTACCAAATTCAATTTTGTAATCAATACCAATTTCATTATAGAGGAAATCTCGAAGAAATTCTTCTGTGTTTTCATCTCTTACCTCGTAAAGACCAGTAAAGATAAGATTGTTCTTCATAGACCGACAATGTAAGTCAAGCACTCTTTCCTTAAGATTTTCTAGTTCACCTTGGCAGTTACATTCAGTCGAAGTTCTACCTTGTGATTTGATTTCAGAAATGTCTTAGGAAACCTTATTAATGCTTGTTTTTGCTTTATCAATTTCACTGGTATTCTTGTCATTGAGGCTCTTGTTTTTATCACATTGAGATTTTAGGTTGTCAAATAAATTCCCTACTCCTTGTATGTTGTTTTCAAGTTCAGTTATTTTACCTTGGCATGATTTTAAGCCCTTCTCAGTAGTAATAACTCGACTTGTCAGAGATGTAATAATATTTTTATGTCACCAAATATGTCAATGCCTTTCTCTACCGACTGCAATCTTTTATCAATGCTTGATACTAGATTTATAAAGGTGTTCAAAAGTAGAGGTACGATTTGGTCCCCCCCCCCCTTTTTCTTCTACAATCTTTCTACTCTCCTCCAAGAGCTGACGTGTTTCACTAAGTGACATTATATATGTATTAGAACTATAGGTAAACGCATGGTCAAGTGATCACAGGGTCCAAAGTCCAATTTCGATGACCGATTGCAACACCTCACACAAACAATTAATTTACATTGTCCGACTTAGTGAATTGTTCTCATTATATGTAGGTGTAATGTTCTATTTTTAGTGCTGTCTTCAAATAAATTGCACAAAAGGTGAAAAATTAAATCATTATCATACGTTTATTCTCTTCTTCTCACCATGTAGTATATTTAATGCTGTTCCTTATGGTATATCGGTTGTCTTCGTTCTTTTCGTGAATTCTACATTTTTGATGATTTTAGTCTCTCTGAAAATTCACACGTCCATTACGTCAAGGGGACAGCACTCCGACCTTTGTAAAATATAGCCTACTTATTATCTAAATCGGGAAAAACAAACAGTGGTGGTGCTTTATTTTAACTTTTCATCAGTATAGTAAATTCGCCATGTTGTGTAATATTGACATGTCCTTTTCATGCTAAAAATTTTTGATTTTGTTTACAAATAATATCGTATTTTGTTTAAATCTTGTATCGTGAAATACAAAAAAAAAAAAAAAAAAAAAAAAACTCAAGTCGTTATATTTGAATTTGAAGCTAATTTATGATATTTTAAGACGAAATCAAAAATTAATTTTGATTTATCTCTTATTTACCCAACAAACTGTTTGGAGAAAATATAAAAAAAAAACCGTATCAATTTAAATGAGTGATCTATATGGTCGTATTCTATACTATTAAACGAGAAGACCTCATTTTGTGTGTCGCTTCTCTTCCTTCCACAATAAATAAATCACCATGCCTCTGTGTCCTATAGGTACCTTGCATAGTCGCATTTGTCATCCATTCTTATTATTATTTAGTTTGGGTTATTTGGGGAGAAAAACGAAAATAAAGACGTCCGGATATTGTTTCCGTCATCAGACCGACTTTTTAGTCATAGACAAGACTTCCGGTTTTAAACTTACAAATAATTTTCATAAGTCCTCGGGGACAGGACAATCATTTTCGCGTTTATCTTCATGTATACTATGATTATACTATGACTCTCTATAGATTATAGCAGGGGTCGCCGTGGAGAAGAAACTTGAAATTGATAGTTAATAGCACATACACTTTATTTATGATATACGTATGTTCATAGTATACAGAAACGCGAAAATAATGGAATTCATCAGAAAAAAAATAAAAAAAATAACGGACTTTGGAAAAAAGAGAGAGGGCTTAAAAATATTGTCCTGTCTCCAAGTACCTATGATTTTTGATACCTTTTCTGAAATTGTCCAGACATAACAGTGGCGGATCCAGAAATTTTCATAAGGGTGGGGGGAAGGGGGCACTGACTGCCTAAGAGGGGTCCCGCTCCTGTCATGCATCATTGATTCCCTATATAATCAAATTTTTTTCCCACAAAGGGGGGGGGGGGGTGTGGGGTCCGAGCCCCCTGATAAAACCCTCTAAATCCGCCTCTGCATGTAATCTTTTACAAAAATTCATCCTACAACAGTTTACATACTTTCAACCAAGGTCTAAATGCCCGCGATTTCGCGGGTGTGTTCTAGTAATTATGATTGGAACAAAGATAATCCCACCTTTAAATATTCAATTTACACTGTTATTTCAAGCAGTACATCTTGATGCGATGATAATGTTTTAATCTTTCTGTCAAAAAATAAGCTGCTCTTAAAGATGGTTTACTTGCATATTGTTCACATTTGCATATCTTTTGGTTTATTGTATGATTATCAGGAACATTAAGATTTGTCTCAGTATAGTGTTCTGCAACAGATTTTTGCAACTGTGCTTTTTATCGTTGATATGTTAGCCCATACAAGCTCTAGCGTTTTGATATATCCAGATGCGTACTTTTCAATCTTGCATAGAAGAAACTTATATAAGCTACGTTAAAGACACATATGATATCACGGAATTGTGGGGAATTGAAGTCAAAACTAATGTAATATTCATCGAGAAAGTTTGTCAATTCATGTTTAGGCTTTTAACATGTGCTATGTTTGACCGATTAATATATTCGGTATATTAAAATATTCAGGTTTAATATATTCGGTATATTAAAATATTCAGGTTTAATATATTCGGTATATTAAAATATTCAGGTTTAATATATTCGGTATATTAAAATATTCAGGTTTAATATATTCGGTATATTAAAATATTTAGGTTTCTTTACATTTTTCTTCCTTAACAAATTTCATTTTTTAAAGATTTGTCAAGACTGGTGCTTATTACTACGCCTATTCGATTCGTATTATAATAAATTTTGACTAAAATTGAATGCAAGAAAGGACGAATCAATGAATGAAAGAAAGGACGAATCAATGAATGAAAGAAAGGACGAATCAATGAATGAAAGAAAGGACGAATCAATGAATGAAAGAAAGGACGAATCAATGAATGAAAGAAAGGACGAACCAATGAATGCAAGAGAGGACGAATCAATGAATGAATTTAAAAAAAGTAAAGACATGATTGAATGAATAAATTAATAAAATAATACTCACATGACAGATCACTGTCCCATGGAGTCATTTCCGTACATGTGAAAGTTCCTGATATTTCGGCACAAATTTGCCATAATCCACCATACAGATTAATACTACTACTTAAAGATTGGCGATACCAGTATGGTAAACCAAATGCTACTCCATGAGCAATAAATGCAAGTAAAGAGAAGAACAACACAACACCCACAAGTCCTTTATGTTTCCTTTTCTCCATTTCATATATCTCAGTAATGTATTGTAATATTTATGAAAAATTCATTGAAGAAACTTTCATTAAAAATGTTAAAGTCAATTTTAAATTTTATTTTCCGAAAAAAACAAAATTGATTTATAGGAATACGTTTGAGAAGAACATAATTGTTGTAAACTTTAGGTTTCTAAAACGATATGTAATTAAATAGTCACATGAAACCTATTATTATACGCCAGTAATTTTTTAACTTATTATGTCCTACGTTTTAACCTTGCAGTTCAAGTGTTTGCTTTTGTTGGATTCTATATATATAAGTATTTACAAAGTTTAGATTTACTTAAAACTTAACTACACAATGTTGGAGCAATTATCTAAATACTTTAAATGACACAACTTGGTTCATCTGTTATTAGAAAAAATCAAATATGGACGTCCGTAAAGCAGAATATTGTTAAATTTAAATAAATTATAAGCCTGATATCTTTTACGACAGTTTTCTGATAATCGAAGACCAGCGATGTACAAAACCAATAACAATGTTTATGTTTACTAACACAAATACAAAGAGTCGGTCAACGATATCACCATTAAACATAAAAGGTAATAAAAAACCCTGATAAACACAAAACACTGTATTAAATGTTATTGTAAAAAATGGCGGCGCAATATTTTATTCATAACGGCCTTTGTAAAGGGTTGCTGAAAAAGGGAATTATAAAGAATAAAAACGTCCAGGTCACATAAGGTCAGAAACACTCTGATATTGTTTTTTTTTGTGTGTTTTACATTTTAGAATCTGTGTTTTTACTTAATTTTGATCACTTCTTTTTATTTTCTGTAGTTTTATTTTTTTAACCAACTTTCGATATTATTTTTATGTTATCTAAATATTGTTTCCTTAAAGTTCATTTACATGATGATGCAAGACGATCAAAGCTCGATTCTGTTTCCAATGATTTCTGCTCTGATCTGAATACAGAAATTTTAATAAGCGACGATTGACTTGGGAAACTAGATATACACTGCACAAAGGGGACATTAAAAAAATATTTATGAAATAGAAACAGCTATTGCTAATTTTCATATATGGATAAATAAACTCGTCATAGGTACCAGGCGAGACGCGCGTTTCGTCTAATAAAGTCTCTTCAGTGACGCTCGAATAAAACAAATTAAGAAGTCCAAATAATGTACGAAGTTGGACCGACAGTATCATTGTTGACAGATGTCAAATAGTTTTCAAAATAGCAAACAACATAAAAAGTAAAATAACAAAAATACCGAACTCCAAGGAAAATTCAAATCGGAAAGCTCAAACACAACATAACTGTGAATTATAAATAAATTATAAATAGTAATGTTTGTGTCATTTGTCATAAATTGAAATAACAAATTATAATAAAAAATAGGTAAAGGACGGTCTCTGGTCGTTTGATATTCCCAAAAATATACACATAAATTAACTGATTCACGGATATCTAATGGGATAAACAGCTCATTATTTATATATGTTTAACAATAATGCATGAGCACCACATTACAGCTTTTCGACAGGGCGGGCGTTCCCAAAATGTATATAGACCGAAGCGACGCTATCGGAACAATCATGTCTAAATAACGAATTGCGTACTTAATTTATACCGCACAACCACGTACAGCCTCTTACTTGATGTAGTTTTATCTCTTGGTAGAGCTTTCCTGATTTTCTACCGTACCAACCGTAGTACGAACTGGGAGCCGTCATTGAACTTTTGAAAATAATTGATGTATACACTTAATATCAACTAATGTTTTATGAATCATAACCGAAATTAATTGGGGGATTTTTAGCTGCAAAATGATATTAATTTCACATGGAAATTTTTCGTATTTAAAGCAAACTATATTGTGTGTACTCGATTATGCTTTAAAGCAACCGTCGCAAGTATTTTATTTTCCCTGAAATTGCAAAGAAAAAAAGAAGCTAAGATATAAAGCACATTTATATTCTATCTGATTTTCGCAGGTTATAATATTATAACAATATTGAAAGAATAAGTTGGATTTCTTTTGGGTAGGCGTTTAGAAAATATGTAAGAGCCATTTTAGCATAAGTTAACCTCGTTAATAACATATTAATAATAAGTATAAAAGCACAATCGACTATGCGAAGGGCTAGGTCTATTTCATTATACCAACTGAGCATGACCCGTATACATATAAACGATAAATCGATTTTTTTAATACAATTAAATATTGTCGCTTATTGTTTTCCTCGAATGTGACATACCGAATTAGACTTAAACAGGGTTGGTACTTATTGTTTTTCTCGAATGTGACATACTGAGTTAGACGTATCACAGGGTTTGTACTTACATGAGCATAACGGAAGGCATTTGTTGGGTAGGATCTGCTTATCCTTCAAGAGCACATGAGACCACCCCGATATTTGGCGGGGTTTGCGTTGTTCAATCCTTAGTTTTCTATGTAGTGTTTTGTATTCTGTTTGTATTCTGTTTGTCTTTTGATCGTTTTTCATTTTTTTGCCATGGCATTGCCAGTTTTATTTTTGACTTATGAGTTTGAGTATCCCTATGGTATTTTTCGCCTTTCTTGTATTTACGTAGTTCAAATTTTAAAATATTCAAACTGGTTTTTGCTGATATGCAATTCGATTCCTATTAAGATGAATAAAATAATTGCATGCATTTAATGATACCTCCAAAACAACACTAACGGTTGAGTTACGTACCAACCGTACATAATACATAGCAAATCGGGAAACCTCTAGTAGGAGAATCAATGTCGAATTTCTAAATTCCGGGTATCCCGCAGAGACAAAAATTAGGAAGAACATTACAGTCCAAAAAGGGGAAAATTATTACTTAGTCTACTATACAATCAATGGAATAAAATACATATTAAGGAATAATAACATAACAAAACCTCATTTTATATTCTAAAAAAGTCAAAGTTTATATACACTGACCCACTTTGGGAAAGACTCGAAAGTGACCTAAAGTCACTTCGAACGATCACCATGTATGAATTACAAAATTTCTAAGTTAAAGAGTTATTAACTATTGGAATTGAATCAATGTCCCTAATTACACGTGGTCGTGTATTTATACATTTACATCCAGCATATTATGTTGTTAGAACTTCACATCGCATTAAACTGCGATGGTCATTAAGGCCTAAATCAGAATTACGGATTACACATTTATTTATCGAATTTGTACTACCCATGAACTACACGACTGGTGCAAGATCTGCTTACCCTTCTGGAGCACCCGGGATCACCCCGACTTTTTAGTGAGATTTGTGTTGCTCAGTGTATTGTTTTGATACGGTGTTTAGTAGAGTGGTGTTGGTCTTTTCCTCGTTTTGTTTATTTTGCAACGGCTTAGTAGGTTTTCTTGAATTTTGATTGTCCCTTTGATATCTTCCGCCTCTTTGTTTATGAAATATGGTGTTCTGACTCACCAACATACTAAATACCGCATATAGGTTGTTGGAGATACACATCACATATATTTGTGATTTTGTAAGTGACAATTCAGGATATGATGTAAGTCTGGTCATGTAATATTTTTTGCAGTGAAGGTATAACGTTCTCTCTCTAGATAATACAAAAGTTGGTGACTATGTTGAACGAATCTATCCCACCGAACTAGAGATAAAGGATACTACAGATACAGTTAAGTCTGCCTCATATCTTGACTTACATCTAGAAATTGACAATGAGGGTCGGTTGAAAACAAAACTTTACGACAAAAGAGATGATTTCAGCTTCCCAATAGTGAATGTTCCTTCTCTATGTAGCAACATTCCAGCAGCGCCTTCATACGGAGTATATATCTCCCAATTGATACGATATTCCCGGGCTTGTATTTCCTATCATGATTTCCTTGATAGAGGATTGCTGCTCACAAGGAAGCTATTAAACCAAGAGTTCCAAATGGTGAAGTTGAAATCATCCCTTCGTAAATTTTACGGACGCCATCACGAGTTGGTTGACCGTTATGGAATAACCGTTTCACAGATGATATCGGTCGGATATGTTCCTTATGTCGTAACTACAATACCCTTCCCTTTTCACGAATGTGACCTACCGAATTAGACAATTTACCGGATTTGTAATAACATAAGCAACACGACGGGTGCCACATGTGGAGCAGGATCTGCTTACCCTTCCGGAGCACTTGAGATCACCCCCACTTATTGGTGGGGTTCGTGTTGCTTAGTCTTTAGTTTTCTATGTTGTGTCATATGTACTATTATTTGTGTATTTGTCTTTTTATTTTTGGCCATGGCGTTGTCAGTTTTTTTTTTCGATCTATGAGTTTGACTGTCCCTCTGGTATCTTTCGTCCCTCTTTTAATCCAATAACCTCATGCAAGAGCACAATTACGACAAGCATGGTTCAAAAAACGATTCAGCTATATGACTATCACGTTTTAAGACTTTATTGTCCAAGAACATTCATGACAAGTGGGACTTAGTGGGTCGGAGTAGGTCTCAGATATTTTAAAGCGTTTCTTTTTGAATGTTCATCCGTTTTTTGGCAGATAAATTTTGACAGTTTAAAATTTTGAAATTACAGGGCATTATAGGCCCCAAAATTAACCTTCTCCTTCGGTCAGGCATTGGCTTATACTTTGTTTAGAAACAATGTCTAATATTTCAATTTCAACATTTTTTAGTATGACGAAAAATATTTTCACATCTGTACTCGTACTATGAATAACAAATTTATTTTGTAAAAACTGTTTCTGTACTCCTAACAACAAAATTATTATAATTAAATTTACCTGTGTACGTTACTTTATTTAAGGCCATTTTGTCCGAGGTTAAAGTTGTTTTTTGACATTGAAACATCTTTTTTATTTATATTGTGTCATAGCTCAAACTTATTCGTTCAGTGTATATTTACTTGTTTTTGCGTATTTTCATTTTGATCGAGTTAAGCCATTTCAATTGATATTTTTTTGTGTGTCTTTTTATGTTGTAATGTTATACCACTTTTTCAGGTTAGGTTGAAGGTTGGCGCCTGTTTAAACGTTTAAACCCGCTGCATTTTTATGCACCTGTCCTAAGTCAGGAGTCTGTTGTTCAGTGGTTGTCGTTTGCTGGTGTGGTTCATCAGTGTTTCTCGTTTCTCGTTTTTTATATAGATTAGACCGTTGGTTTCCTGTTTGAATTGTTTTACATTAGTCTTTTTGGGGCCCTTTATAGCTTGCTGTTCGGT